TGGTACCGACGTAATTTGCAGTGTGGTGGTTATTTCTGAATCAATGCAGGGATCTGCACTTGTTTTTCTGCTACGTGATAAATTGCTGACGTGGATGGCTCAGTAGGACCACAATCTGCTCTACTTTCTGAACGCCTGGAGATTTTTGAGATCGCATCAGCTCAAGTTTTGCTATAGCTAATCAGACGAACGAAATTTAGTTGTTTCAGTGACATCCGCATGACCTGGGATGCATTTTAGTTATGTAATTATATTGGTTAAATTACATGTTAGGGTCGGTTGCTTACTTAAGTTCTTCCTTATTGATGTGTATGAGCCTCAGGTTTATTTGTACTGTTTCTGGCTATGCAGCTTGACATTGTGCGGAAGAATGTGGTCGAGATTAGTGGAAGAGATGCGAGAGAGGTTAGGGTGGTTGCTTGCCCCTACAGGATTTGTCCTTTGGGGGCCCACATTGATCATCAGGTAACTGCCATTACTTGATAACCGTTAAGTCATGGTTGTACTTACTGTCGATATGCAATATATCATACTGCAGCACTGGAACTGAAAGCTAGAATTCAGTTGTGCATCCAGCTGTCCAGCATGCCTTGCTATCCACACAGCTTCGATTGTATACGATGTGCTGCAAGTCATATTGTAGCTACAAGCCTAGAAAATTGTTGGATAAGATGTGTGGACCAAGTGGTACCAGCAATATTGATCGGCCTTGATGTTTTTTAGGATAATAATTAGCTAGCAGATGGTAGCGTATCTGGTTACTAGATTTCCCCCCTGCAAATGTTTGAAAGTTGCAGCAATCTTTGTAAAGCAGAGCTAGCAAGTTAGACATAATGGCGATAACTGGTTCTTGCCAATAACTAGAAATATCAGTTTGGCCTTATTTGGAAAGGTGTGATAAGTCCAGATATTTCTTATTAGGGCTGCAGCATGAATTATTTCAGAGTTATGAGTAGTAAGCTCCAGCAGCATTGGTTTCGATTTCATGTTTAGTTTTACGCCAAGAAGGACAGTGTTTCATAATAATATTTAGAGGAAGGACAAAATGAGTATAAACTGCTGTTTTACCGAGTTATGGTGGGAATGACCCTGTTGTCAGCAGGTAACATACCAAGTCAGTGCTGCCAACGATTAACGGTACAGGGTCCAACTGACTGTAAACTAGTGCAAGCCTGCTTGGAATAGCCATTGTAGTATCTTCCACTCCTGGACGAGTCAATGGTGTTGCATGAATCTAGCATTTCGCAAATGGCTTTATAGACAGCTAGTTCTTGTGATTCGGGGTGCATAATACTCGTGATTTTATTCTGATGAAAACTTGTCTATTTTGCTGTAAGTTAGTTTTATCTATTTTGTTGTCTCTAGCAATACGAGGATCTGCTAACTGACTTGGAGTACCACTATGACAATCTCGTCTGCAAACTGGCAGGGCGGAATAGTGACTGCTATGACAATCAATTATGGAGTACTTCTTGGCTTTGTGCCCTCTGATGATGCTGAGGTGGGTAAATATACTGAAGCGTTTTTTCTGTAGATTATCTGATATTCCATTTATTTTTTTGTGAGGACTCTGATATTGTAATCGAACTAATTGTTTTTGCCCAAATATCGATTGCACCACCTTCTGAATCCTGTTTCTTAATCTAGTTTATATGTTTGCTAAAACCACCACATGTGGAAATCTGGTCTTCTTTCAAATTAGTAGTTATGCATTCACACTCGTATAATCAATTGTATCACACTATGGCAATAGTGTTATGCATATTTGCCATTGGTAAACCTCCTTTCCTTTTTCAGGTTGTACTCCAGTCTGGTCAATTTAAAGGCGTTACTCGATTCAGGTAGGGCCATACACATCACATCTCTTGAAATACAGTTTGCACCCTAACAAATATCAAATACTCTAGCCACGTGGGTCCACCGAGGAAAACTTTGAGCGCCGTCTCATTGTTTTTTGTGATGACTAAGTATTAACCTGTAGTCACTTCATTCTGTTACCTCTAGCTAGTTCGTGATGAACACATTACGTTGCTAGGAAAGATCGCCCTATTTTATGATAGCTGTTGTTTCTATCCCTAAATTCAGGTTCTGTTAAATCTTCAATGTGAGAGAGCTAAAGTCAGAACTTGCATGCTCCATCACTTTTAACAGAGTTGATGACTTGCAAAAGCCTATTGAGAACCGAGGAAACATAACTTGGGAAAGCTATGCAAGAGGTGCAGTTTATGCCCTGCAAAATAGTGGATATGATCTCAGAAAGGTATCTCCATTTCAACCATGTAACAGTCCAGATTATCCTAGGTTTCAGAAAACTGTTGACGAATGGTTTCTTTACAGGGTATAATAGGTTATATTTCTGGAGTGAATGGACTTGACAGTTCAGGGCTTAGTTCGTCTGCAGCTGTAAGCTAACTGATATGTTATATCTTATATGCATTATCATGTGTTGAAATCTAACATTGAATTAATACAGGTCCTAGCTACAACTTTTTATTATGCTGTAATTATAGTTAAAACCTGATGTAACTTTGCTAGCATATAGATCATGCACAACAACATATGTTCTTAACTTTTTCTATGCCCCCATCTGTACATTATTTTACTTGGAGTAAATAACAGCTTTGTGCAAGAGCACATATTAATATACTTTTCTCTGTACAATCCTCATCAGGTTGGCATTGCCTATTTGCTGGCTTTAGAAAATGTAAATGATCTGGTCTTATCACCAGTTGATAACATTCAGTTGGACAAGTAAGTGTGTTTCCTTTCCATCTCCAATTCTCTATACTCTAGGAAGGACCAAAGTAGTTTCAACCCCCCAGTATGTTTGTTGAACTTGCTGTTGCTAAACATGGAATGACCTAGAACAATGTGCATCCTGTTTGTCAGGTCCATTGAAAATAAATATTTGGGTCTTGAAAATGGCATTCTAGATCCATCAGCCATTTTATTGTCTCGATACAGCTACCTCACCTTCATGGATTGCAAGGTAACACTTCGCTTTTATTTTTTCTCAAAGTTTATTACTCCCTCCGATCCAAATTAATTGACGCAGCCTCTATACATTAATTCGGATCGGAGGGAGTATGTTTATTTGTCCAGCCAGCATGATTGATTTTTTTTTTAACATCCTAGGCTGTTGTTATGATATTAGAAAAAGTGCTTTTTCACCCGCAAAAAAAAGTGCCTTTAAGTTCAAATTTTTGATCGAACTGCTGTATTGGGGCTATTCAAACATGTCAACTCGCCCTAGCATCCCTTTCCTTATTTTGTGTCGTTCACGCCCAGATTTTGCTGGGAAATGTTAATTGCAGTGTTGTCTGTTAGTATTTTTGTAGTGACTGAGACTCGATTTTGTAGACTGCCTCACCTTCCTACGTCTACTTCTCGGAACTAAGTAAAAGCCAGCAACCTCAAGGTCGGCTGCCATTCAAGATTTTGTTGGCATTTTCAGGTTTGCAACATAACCTACCCAAGTCGCGTGGGTATAATATGCGAGTCTTCGAGTGCAAAGAGGCTGCACGTGCTCTTTTATGGTGAGTTCCATGATTGGGTTTTTCAGTTTAGTCATGCAAACAGATGGCATGTTCAATTTTAAAGAACTGAAGTTCATGATCCCTGTGCAGTCTCTGTTAGTAGCTTCCTTTCTCATATAACATAACAAAAGTTTAATCATCATTCGCTATTTGAATTCCCAGTGCGTCAGGCTCTGAAGATGCACCAATACTTCGTAAAGGTAAAATATCTAATTAACATTGGTTCGTTGTGACCCATTAGTCAAATCTAACAAGTCTGATATCACCTTTCCTGTTATTGCAGTTGATCCAGGTGTATATGAGGCCCAAAAGGTACCCTGCCAAATCCAGCTCCATTTCCTAGATATCTTATTACTGGTACCAGACCTTGAATCTAGCGCATTTTGACAATAACATTTCGTGCAGTGTATATTAGATGAAAATCTTGCCAAGAGAGCTGAGCACTATTTCTCTGAAATGAAGCGAGTTGTTAAGGGTAAGCTTATCATATGTTTCATGTACGCCCTTCAATGTATTTGATTCTGCAACTTGAATTCCTCCTTGACAAGTTTCCATGCACGGGGATATCAAATCCATTTTTTTTATCAGAGGAATATTAAATACATGGTTCTCCATATTTGTACTACTCATTGCATGTCCAAAAAAAGAACCAGCGTTTCTCGACCTTTTTGTTCAGCATGCATGAACTGTATGTTAGCAGTACCTTGTATTCTTCATGAAAATACTAGGGTTGCATCTATCTCATTCTATGCACGTCCAAAAGAAACAGGTGGTTTACCGGATATTTCTGATTCACCATATGTACTAGTATTTGACTGGACCTGCTAGACAGAAGGTTTCAGACTTTTTCGATAAAAAGAAGGTTACAGACTTGCAGTTAACATTTGACGGTCCACTGACTCTGTCGTATCTCCACTGAAGTTTCAACTAATAGTTTCCTTCTGGTTAATCTGTGTTCAGGAAGAGAGGCATGGGCTCGTGGAGACCTACAAGAATTCGGACAGCTGGTCTCTGCATCTGGCCGCAGCTCCATAGTCAACTACGAATGCGGTATGTCCATTGCAACACTTCAGGATCCACTGTGACATTCAGTTTCAGGTCACAATGCTTTTACATGTCGCTAGCAGTCCTTGACAGAAGGAACAATACTACAGTACTATTTGACGGAATTCCCAAACCGCAGGGAGCAAAGAGATGATACAGCTGTACGAGATCCTCCTGAAGGCGCCAGGGGTCCTCGGCGCGCGGTTCAGCGGCGCTGGCTTCAGAGGCTGCTGCCTCGCCATCGTCGAAAGCGACCACGCGGAGGAGGCCGCGGCGTACGTTGGCGCCGAGTACGAGAGGGCCCAGCCAGAGCTGGTGAGCAAGATCCCCGCGGATCGTCGCGTGCTGGTCTGCGAGCCCGGGGACTCCGCGCGCGTCATATTGCAGTCATGAGCTTCCTGTTGGTCGGGACTTTGTGAAGGTGAGAAGGCCGACAAGTTTTAGACATTTATATAGTTCTATAAGATGAGACTAGCGCTGTTGTGTATGAACTGAACTCAGTCGAGCTCCCAGATAGCTCATCTGTGTATGTGTGGAACCATTTGATTCATTCGTTTCCACGTAAGCAATAAGCAGTAATGCAAAGGCTCTCTCTCTCTCAAAGGTGTAATGCTGCTAGTGGTAAAGGATGATAAGATAGGCAGAGTCTAATTATAAACAAGACAAATGGTTTATCGCTTCCACCAAAATGCCAAGCATAGTCGAGTATTTTATACTCGATCGTCCCTTTTATATATCTTTCAGTTCTGTTTTTCCGCAGACGAGAGAGTTTTATGGATGAACTAAAAGTTCATTACAATCGTTCAAGAGCAGTTCTGACACACAGACACACAATACTCCTACCATCCGAACTCAAGTTGGGAGAAAGATTAGGCAAAAGAAGTTGACCAGGTTGCCACACCTGTCCAGTGCTGATTGATCAGTTAGCGCAGGTGATGAAACAAACCAAGCGAGTGGTGCAGTACGGCATAGTGCTGATTGATCAGTTAGCGCAGGTGATGAAACAAACCAAGCGAGTGGTGCAGTACGGCATAGTCCTACGGACGGTGGCGGTCCGTACTCATTTGGAGTTAACAAATCACATTATTGCGCCTCGGATAACACTAAATCATACAGAGCGAACAATAAATAGCGACGAATCCGGTGCAGCAGGGGGCTGACTAGCTGAGGGGAGGTGGACACATGTACGGACGGCGCCCGGCTGACCGTGGTGTCCCTTCAAGCCCAGAAAGGATTCGAAGGGTATCATTACACACATATACTACTACTCCTTAACCAATAAACCATGCACATTGATGGATGATTAGTTCGGCAGGGGCAGCCATGTTCTCGCGCCTCATCTGGTTCATGCACACAGGTGGCTGATCACAGGCCAGCTGAATCCATTAATCTGCTAGCTCGTCCTAAATCAGAAGAATGAAAAGTAGATTGTGAAGTTCAAGTACGCAGGACGCCCAATCGACCCATTTTTTAGAGTTTGTCAGAATCATTTGAGCGTATAGTTAGCCGAACGAAGAAGAAGCATCATGCATATACATGCAACGCACTGGTTAGTTTGATCAATTCTTATTCTACTTACACCCTCTGATTCAAAATAAGTGTCGCAGTTTTGTACTAACCCCAGTTCGAAAGCTGCGACACTTATTTTAAATTGGAGGTTGTAGTACTTAGTGAGGAGTCAGAGACCTCCTGCTGGTGGCTAAGAAAAGAAAAAAAAATCCTAGGAATCACATGCGTAAACTCCTCATTAAGAGTTTAGTCATGTAGTATGAATTCATATAGTTGATCTACACCTTCAGAGAAAAAAACCTCCACCTGTTACGAGACGAGCTCATAGTTGGAGTCGGTTGATTTGGATGCCATGAGGAGTGGGTGTACGGAACTACGGACCGCATATTTCGGCAATCATTAAGTCTGTGGCAGGTCATACGTCGTACTACTACTATACTATGCATAATGTTCAGTTTAGTATTCGATTGAGTTGACTGAAATTTGTATACCTAGCCTAGTCATAGGAGTGTTTGACAAAAAACAACCACAATTAAGGTTGGCGTCCCACAGAACTACCACTTTAAAAAAATGACTGATAACTATCAAAAAATTGGAATCTCGTGACTAAAAGCTGCCACTTTCGAAAAATGGCCAGTTTAGAAGATTTAAACGTGTTTATGACATGCGGGGCCCGTATGTCAGGGCTGCATGGCGGGAAAGTCAACTCCGTTTATTTTTTACCGTTAAATTGACCATTATGACAGGTGGGGCCACACGTCAGCATCACCTCCTTCTTCCTCCTCATCTCTCTCTCTCCATCTCTCTCTTTGGAATTTTAGCAAACACCTCATGTGCACCTTTGCCGCGGTGGAAGACCTGCCGGACCTTCCTCTCTCCGCTGGCGAGCTCCTCAGCCCCGTCGCCCCTTGCCATCTCTCCTTTCCCTTCCTCCCTACCTTCGCTTCTCACGTGCACGAGCTCCCCTGCCATGGCGCCTCGGCCTCTGCTTCGTCCACCGCCTGCCATGGTCGGCCCCAAGCGCCTCCTCCCTGCCTCGCCTACAGTCCTCCTGCATCTCCTCCGCGACCCCTTCCTGATGTCAGGGCCGAGCTGCTTGCCTCCCTTGCCATCCGCCACCATCGCCTCCCTCCTGTCGTTGATGTGCTGCTGGCCCTCGCTGTCGAGTGCGTCGTCGGTGGCCTCCTCCTTGCCCCGGGCTCCATCCAGCTCCGTCGCCTCCCAGCGTCCTCCTGCCCGCGCTGCCCCTATGGCTTTCCCGAGGCCATCACCGACCACCACCCCGTGACGCTCGGCCTCTGGACTACCACCACTAACGCAAGTACGTGAGTAACGGCGCCGGCGACTCGGCGGCGGCCAGGTCGCGCGCCAGGCGGCAACAGCTCGCCGGTGTGCTCCAGTCCAAAGAGCTACCGCCGGTGTGCTACTCTACTGCTGGTAAGGTGTTTGTTGAAATGCCAAAGAGAGAGAGGAGGAAGAAGGTGATGCTGACGTGTGGGGTCCACCTGTCTTAACGGTCAATTTAACGGTCCGCAATAACAGAGTTGACTTTCCCGCCACGTCAGCCCTGACAAACAGGCCTCACATGTTATAAACGCGTTTAAATCGTCTTAACTGGTCATTTTTCGAAAGTGGTAGTTTTTAGTCACGAGATTTCATTTTTTTGATAGTTATCAGTCATTTTTTTCAAAGTGGTAGTTCTGTGGGACACGAATCCTAATTGTGGTAGTTTTTTGTCAAACACTCTAGTCATAGTGTCAAGGCCACAGCTTTAACTTAAGTCACTGTGCCTTCCGAAGCCTTGGAAAAGGCCTTGGGACTTCCTAATTAACCGGTGGCCCACCTGCTAAATTCTTTGTTCAGGAAGCCATGTATGATAGCAAAATGAGTAAAGCATGAATAACTACTGACAGGATAATGCGCCTTTTGGGAAACTACCGTGGGATGAGACATGATGATCATCACCTGCTCAATCATTCACCATGCCTACCAATTTCAGATCCCAGAGGTGTCGAAATCATATTGGCTTTGGCTTCCATGGTCACCTCAAATCTCTGGACAAGTTTGGACCTAGTACCAGAAAAGGATGTCTCCAACTGGCTAAATTTCAACAGGGCACTCATGGGTACATATACTCCCGCCCTCAGTTCTTCATAGTACTACTAATTCACTCAATCATTACCAGTATATATATACGTATGAGATACGACGATCTATGATAGATGTTAATCAGTGTATATATTGTGTATAGAACTTAACTGCCACAGCTATATTTTGGAGGAACAACTGACACAATTATTGGGCATAGAAAATGGCAGACAAGTCGTGCGCTTCATCCGCCCGGTCCAGACGCGGAGTGCATGTCGCTTTGAACCGATGATTAGGGTTTTATAATCCTCTTTGTCATGGCTAACGCAAAGAAAGGTAAATCTACTATAGACTAGCTAGCAATGGCTACTCCGACCAATAACGTATATACTTGGCTAGCTGGACGCTCGTTGTGTGGCTAGAGGTGTGGTGTTCCAATTCCAATGGATTAACCATTGTGTGTAGCTTGGTTTAATTATGTGGCTCTGGTTATTTTATGAGAATTTGGTCAAGCGATGATTCACTTGCGGACTCTAGCTTAAAGATGATTGCGCACATTTTTTTTATCGAAATGGTCATTGAATTTGTTTCTTGTAAATCGAGCCAACTTGATCTTGAATTGAAGACACTCGTATGGTTTCTTAAATGGAATCGGGGTGAAAAGCCCTTTTGCTCAAAAAAATAAAAATTACTTAGCTTGTATACTAATCAGTTAACTACCCGTATACAAACATGCGATGATAGATAGCTGTGGGCAATTAGTATATACTTGTATATACCTTAGCAACTCCAACACACAAAATGACCAAACGATCCAGTGCCGTTTCAGAAATAGTAGAATAGATAAGTTAGCAAATTCTTTATGGCAATAATTGCTGGGATAGTCAATCATTTTCAGATCTAGCACTGAAAAGAAGGGCCGGTCGCCTATGCGTCATGGGTGGACTGATTGGAGTAGAACCACATGGACACTCATCCTGCAAACCTATGGATCAGATTCTTCTATGCAATCATGCGATTAACATACTACTGATGTGTATTGGTCGTAGGTATATCCATTTCATTATGTTTGACCACCCAAGCTTAATAAGACACACAAAAAAGAAAGCACTTGTCATTGTGAAACATCCTCAGTTGAGGCATCACCTGCCATTTACTCCCTCAGTCCCAAAATTCTTGTCTTAGATTTGTCTTGATACAAATGTACCTAAAACTAAAATCTAAGACAAGAATTTTGGAACAGAGGAGTATATGTCTTGCTTTGACACGGAGCTTGAGACTTTTTATGTTTTGGTATTGTGCATCTTAGGATGCAGGGGATAAAACACTTGTGTGGTGTGGTGGTACCATCTTGATAAAGACGATGTGATTAATTAAAGTTCCCAATATAAATGCAAAAATTGACTGTTATGTACTCTTAAATCTAGAGGATTGAAAAGTACATAAATTAACATAAGAAATACTGGACACACCACAGAAACAAATAATTATAAAAGGAGGTTTGAGCTGATGGTAACATCCCTACAAAATAGAGTGCAAAACTAATAATTCTTAGGAAAGACATCTTTAAAATTTCTATCTCCGAATCAAATGACTCGGAAGCGTCGAACAAAAACTTTCCATCCGTGTCCACCCCCAAGCCGTGCCCAGGCCGCGCCCGCCCCAGGCCACGGCCGGCCCGGCCTCACCGCCGAGCTCGAGCAGAGCAGCATGAGCCCCGAGCTCCACCGGCGCCGTCCTCGACTGGTGCTTCCACCGCCTGCTGGTGCAGCGCGCCACTGCCACCTCCGGCTACGACCCATCCCTGCTCTGCGGCGTCTCCTTCAAGGTCGAGGACAGCGACGCCGACCGCCCCGCACGCGTCGTCTAGCCCGTGCCCCCCGACGAGCCCTCCGTGCTTCACTTGAATGAGAGCCTCGCCTTCGAGCCTGTCGCCTCCCGCGACGGCCTCGTCGTGCTCCGCCGGCGCCCCCGCCCGCTCTTCAGG